GTTGTATAACACAAAACTAAACCACAGAAAATAGACATTGCTACCTTAAAATTCTGGAAAATATTTTTTTTTAATTAAGTAAAAATCTGAGATTTTTTTTCTAAAATATTTCTAGGGAGATTCATCAGTATACCTGAACTGCAAAGGTAATAAACAGTGAGGCCTTCCAGTGGGGTCAAAAAGACACCTACATCACATGGAGATCAAAGGAACACCTTTAAAATTTAGGTAACTGAAGACAGGAAATACTACAATGAAATTCAAAAGGGGAAGAGAAAGAGGCGAGCAAAAACCTGGGGTGAAGAGAAAAAAAAAAAAAAGAAATGTTGTTGTAGTGATTTTCTTAAGTCAACAGCATCCTCAGCAAACAAATGTCTGTAATGTGTCCTTTTAGAAGAGTGGATATTCTTTATAGGGGTACAAAATAAAGCTCAGCCTCTAAGTTCCTCAGGTTTCTTTGTAAGGGTTGCTGTATGCTTGGCAGCCCACACTGCTGGGCACTAAGAGCTCGTTTTATTAAGGATCCTGTCTTTGCTCTTCTTTTCCTCTCTTCCTTGTGTCTCAGCCTGAGGCAAGAGCTTTTCTTCCAGATGGAGATCTCCCATTTTGCTGATTGTGTTGTGATTCTGTTTCTACGGGCTTCATAAAACTAAGGTTTGTCAAGAACCAGGATTTAGCGAGAGGGATACAACAGCCTTTCTGTCAAACAAAACAATAGACACTGGAGAGCTCAGATTAATACCATCAGTGCCACCTACTGCTCTATTTCTGAAGCACAGTGTGTGTACATCAGTAATTGCTACAAACTGTCGTAGCTTCCTCCTGTAAAAGCTGACTCAATGTGTATTTTTAACATCTATGTCTTATTTTTTCCCGACGGTTAGGCAAATGTTGAAACCACAGACCTTATAATGAGATAAACCGCAGTTTATCTCATTATAGACTCCCACAGATTGAGAGTTTTTCTTCCCCTAACACACACTTTCTCACGTGCAACCAGGGAGGATGGAGTTGGTTTTCCAACCAAAAAAGATTGTCTGAAGTGGTTCTTCTGGAGGGACCGTGGTGTGAAGACAACATCCATGACTTAATTCCTGGGTTGATATGCTGAGCTAGGGTTTGCAGAAAAGTTCGCTGCACCAAAATACACAGAGTTAGATCAAAGCGTACAGAGAAGACGACATCCCACGAGGTAACAGTTTCGAACAGCTTTAGGTAGGGCAGAATACACCGCATGGTCCCTGCATTGCTATCTCCGGAGAACTGTAGGAAATTTGGGAAAAACAACACACACTTTGTATGATTTCTCTTCAATGACCTTGCAGACTCAGCCTTCTTATTGTCCAGTATCCTTGCAAGCGACATTATTTCACTTCTGTGGGCTGAAAAAGAATTTGGTGGGATAACAAATGATGTCTGGCTGAACTGAGTCCCATTGAATAATGCACTACCAGAGGGCATTTGTATATTTTGGTGATAAGAGCAATGTGGGAACCTAGATAGGCCAGACTCAAAACCAGTTTCACTGGTTTCCAGATTTCTGGAAAACATTTTAATCAATGTTATATTTTAAAACCTATTATTTTGGGTAGGTTTCCATCTTAGCACTTCAGCAGTTGTCCTCTGTTTTGCTAAAAAGGAACAAGCTGTACAATCATCATCACCTTCCTCTCTCTCTGTGACAAAAATGACACATTGTAGTGTTAGCAGAGCGTCCCTCCCACCACTTGCACTTCACATGGAGGATAGCTAGTGGCTGCCCTTCTGCTCCTTTCTGCCCTTGGTGACTGCCCCTCCACTGTGTGTGCTGAGTTTGCCTATTCTTACTGTCAGACTGTAGCCTTTCTCCTGGAGAGCTTGTTTTTGCTGTAGGTGCACAGCTTGCAGGCACTACCTCCTTTATGGCAGTAAATATAGACACCTCCATGCGCATCACAGCGATCCCACACTTCATCCTGGCAGGCCATAAATATAATGAATAGGGCCCTTTGCCCTCTAGCAATTAAGAGCATCTGCAGGGATGAAAATTTTTGGTCAGTCTGTTGCATCTAACCTCTCCTAGGCAGTTGATATGCTTTTCCCTCACTAATAACAAAAAAGCAGGAATCTGGGATGACGCTCTGTGAAAAAAAGCTTAAGGCATGCAGCTGGGATACAGTGAAATGTACTCTGAATCTGAAAGAATGCTAATATTCATAGTGCTATTGAGCACTTTTTATTGGATCAGAAACACTCAAAAAAGCCACGAGTGTTTTCTCCAACCTGTGAAAGATGAGTTATGTGAGTTGCCCAGGTTCACCCAATGATGGTGAAATTATCTTGTGGTATCTGATGACTCTTTCAAACTCCTCCTCCAAAGTTTAAGGGGTTCTATTGTCAAATTCAAAGAGTAAAGAAGTATCCTCTTATGACAAAAGCTGAAAAACGTGACACCCAAGGACCTGAAAATCACAGTCTATATAAAGAGCTTAAGTTTATTATCATAACTTCAGTTTATTGTTGTAAAATTGTCTGTATGGTTTTTAGGCATTTGAATGCTTAGGGACAGTGATTGGGTCACTAAGGCGGTGCCACCGTTTACCGGGCATCACTACTACAGGTTTGCTTGTCATCCCTGGAGATGTAGCTGGTGCGGGCAGTTTGGCTCCAGCACCCTGAAGCAGGTTCAAAGGCCCGTGGAGGACAGCGGCACCCAGCTCACAGCAACCACGGGGCCCACGCACCTACAAGGCCCTGCTTTCCCCCCGGGAAGCTGCAGCAGTGAGCGGGCACGAGTTCCTCTGGCGGGGACCTCATTTTTGCTAAATAAAAGCTCACACGTCCCGCCCAGCACTACAAACAGACAGACACCTCTCCCCCT